CGTTGAAAAGATATTTTGTTGCAAACGGATACACTCCTCCAAGTTAGGAATAATGATGGAAAAGTTTGCCCGGGTTCACTTATAGAATACAAATTAGATTTTTTATTATATTGATTATATTGAAAAAGAAAAAAATTGTAATCATACAGTGTAATGCAAGTACTTATCGATAAATGATTCATTTTGCATAACGTAATTTTGCTGCTTTTTTACATCTTATGATATCACAATCAACCGAATGATGTCGACACATTCCGGACGAGTAATCGTTACCGATTGACAAACAAATGTAACAGTTTCACAGCGCGTCTCCTAGATGGATTAAACTTTGAAAGAGAGTTTTAACTTTAAATTACAAACAAAGAAATTATAAATTGTATTGTACGATGTATCCCCAAAGTGCGTCTCGCTTCGTTACGGCCATTTTTATTAAAAATTTTACACAGAGGAGGTACGTGCAAGAATATTGCGTAATATATATATATTTTTTTTATTTATATATATGTTCTCTTAATATCATTTTTATCAAATATTGAGCGATGTTTCGATATATTTTTGCATGTATTTTTATTGTGTAAAAACATTTATAATTCTATACAGCCAATACGACGTAAACTTCACAGATGTCTCAGTATTTTATTAGTAAAATTTTTAAGCACCCACTTAAGGGGGTGCCAAAGTGGTTAGTGAGCTTCAAAAATATTAATTTTTCTGCAAAATTTTTGCATATTTTTAAACTTCCAAATTTCAATTGCAAAGATCTAACAATGTTTTTCAAAATTTTTCTGAGCAGAGTAAATACACATTTAAAATGTACAAGCTGCTATCATCAAATATTTACATTAACTGACAGCTTAAAACGTCAATTTTTGAACTTTTTATCATTTTTATTAAGCAATGCTCCAATTCATTGTTACACGTATTTTCATTGCCAAAAGCATTCTGTGTGGCCAATACGACATAAATCTTGCAGAAGAAAGGTCAGAATTTTTCGATAAAGTCAGTAAAGTTTTAAAACATGGCATCCCCTTAAAGTGAACAATCTTCATGCGCAACGTTGCTCGACGCTGCTTCGTCGAGTAATGTGCATGTATGTCGGGCATACATACGTGAAAGGCCGCAACGTGTATTCGTAAATTACGAGCGCGGGGCCATTGTCCGTCAATCTTGGTTGTGTAACTAGTTTACCTTTGAAATTAATGTCTGAGATAATGAGGATGCGAGCGAGAGAGTGCGATGAAGGACGGCAATCGGCCGGCCGCGACTCGCATTCTCAGTCCGGCGTACTTTTCCCTACCCACCATGTGCCATCTGGCCCGGCTTGCCCGTGACACGACCGACCTCTCCTCGACGATCTGCTGTCTGATCGTTCTCGTTTCGTTATGTGAAACAAAAATGTGCACTCTGATCCCATACGCCTGCACAACCGCGAGCATGGATAACATTTTCGCAGGTAATCAATTGCGATATATTTAATCCTTTCGGTCCCATTTTACTTTCTGAGGAATTTGAGGCACGTATATGTTGTTACATATGAGAGATTAAGTTAAGCAACGCAAAATAAACGTTTGAACTTACATATACAACCCAATGGGATCGAAAGGATTAACCCCTTCACTGCCGAGAACAAAGACCTTTGTTTTTTTGGACTTGGCCCAAACTGCCGGAAAATCACAAATCTTTGTCCTATAAATAAATGCTCTACTGACGCCTGATAATGCACTAAACGTGAACAGAATGTGTTTTCCTATGTTTTCGGGGTCACTGAATATGATTCCGAGATCCATTTTATATTATCTCGCACCCATGACCGACTAGAGCTATAAGAAAATGACTATTTTTTTCATTTTTTGGAAAATCTTTATCCTCGCACACTCAAGTTTTATGCCACATTTAAACAGTGTTATTCTGATAAGCTATATCATTTATGGGTAAAAGTAACTCAATTCATAACTTTTTGCTACTTTTACCAGATATATCATTTTTATCGTAGTTTGACCCGCTGATTTATCTTTTGCGTGAATTACCCTTGACATTAGCCGAACCCAGGATGCACCGTCAAGGAGGTTGTCAAAAGGATTTAGCATCTCACTTTTTTTTGCTTTTTTTTATCCTTTTTTATTTTTTTTGTTTTTTGTTCTTTTTTGTTTTTTTTTCGTTTTATCGCATAAGTAGTACAAATGAACTCAATTTATTATGTAGTATAAAAAAATGGTCAGTAAAAAAACTTTCAAACAAAATAGGTAACATGTCGATGAAAATACCACAAAAATGGTACGTCCAGTTAAAATTGTCAAAGTTTCTAAGTTCGGCAGTCTGGACACATTTCATCTAAATATTCTGGCAGTGAAGGGGTTAAGAGACTCACACACTCTTTGCTGTACGGCGATCGTGATCTTCTTTGATACGTGAACTTGAAATTCGAGATATAAGCTTGAGATGATCCTGTACATGCTCAGATGCGGACTCGGATCGTTCACCGGCACCGGTGTCGATGTCCGTGTTCGAGGAGATGGAGAGCCGGCTGTCCAGCCTCGAGCGAAGGCTACGAGCGGTCGAGCAACCAGGTAAGAGTAATATTTCGCGATTCGCGCACTGCGAAAGCATACTCGTGCTCTTGTAGTTTGGCAGATCAGCCCGAAAGCGGAGGATTGGGAGGTCTGCGCTGAGGGACCATGCAAGTGTGTGCCGGAAATGAAGTCGGTATCCTGCTGGAGACACGGTCTGCTGGATCTCCCGCCAACGCAGTTGGTGCCGGTCGACGTGCTGAGACTGTAAGCGATTTGAGAGAGAATTCTCGGAAAAGTTGTCCGAACTGTATTCGCACGTATACATTGAACTCCAAAGTACAGTAGTGCGCCGAGTTTGGCCAAGCTTTGGCGCAACTTTCTCTCTCGAAGTTGCGCACTCGAAAGCACACGCGGAGCAAGTCGCGGAACGAAAATCATTCGCTCGACATGCCGTTTCAGGGATCTCGGAAGTAATCGGCTCAGCGCTCTGCACAGGGACACGTTTAGGAACATGACGCGTTTGCATCATCTGTAAGTATCTTGATCACGATTACACGCAAAAGAGACGCATAGACCTTAATAAAATCACAAATTGCAGAGACCTGAGCAACAACCTGATCGAGCATTTATCGCCGAATCTGTTACTGCCGTTGCACGGTGTAGCGAACGTTCGGCTGAGCAACAATCTCCTAAAAGAAATCCAGCGGAATCAGTTCTTCGGACTGAGAAATCTTCGAATACTGTACGTAAAATCAAAATTAGTATAGATAAGCGTAGAATAATCTTATTATAAGAATCGATACCAAAGACGTGTATTTACAGAGACTTCTATTGAAAGAGAGTATATTTGTGTTAAGTCACTCAGAAAGCTCAGTTTAAAATTTGCGTCAAATCTGACTTTATTTTATTCAATGGATTATTGCAAAAGTGAATTGTTCATTGAATAAGTAATCACACGGTTATTGTCTATAATTTTTCGCCATACTTTTTAACTGACCTAATAGTATTCATATTTCCAATGTACCATATAACTTTATTAAAATTCAGTCGGATTAGAATTTATTCAGTGTAATTGCGTTTCATCTAATTTACGTTGAACATCTATTACTCGATCGACCGAAATAATCTCATTTGATTTTTCTCTATTCAGCGATTTGTCGTCGAACAGACTTCGGACTTTGCCGGAAGGCTTGTTTCTGAGCAACAGCCTCTTGGCTTTATTGGATCTCTCCTCCAATCGCATCTCGTCCTTATCTTTCGACGCATTTCGCGGTCTCGGTAATCTCGAGGAATTGCTGCTGGGTAAAAACCGACTGTCCGTCTTACCTGTCCTGATTTTTAAGGACACAATCAACCTCAGGCGTCTTGCGCTCGAGGAAAACCGCCTGAAGGAGTTACCGAATAATTTATTCCACGATTTGACATCGCTCAGAGAGTTAGACATGAGGGGCAACCGATTGACGGAGATACCTAAGGGAACGCTATCGCACCTCGTTAAACTGGAGATCCTGGAAATGTCAAGCAATAGAATATCCCGTGTAAATGTCGCAAATTTATTTATACAAATTAAATTAATCTTAATTAATCGGATGGTTCTTCTAAGTAGAAGTCAAATCAAGATTAGAAAATGGTTAATTAAAATCTTCCAAAAAGTTGGACTTTTCATTTTTTAATCAATCTTTATCTCATATTAATGACAGTAATATTAATTTCAAAGAAAATATCTTTCTCTCTCTCTCTCATATGACCTATATAAATTTGGATATAAATATGAATGTGCAGAAAAGATTATCTTAAATATTAATAGATTACATCTCTGTGACAGATCGACGCAAGAGCCTTTCGTGATATGATAACGCTTCGAGAATTGCGATTAGGACACAATCACATAAAATACTTACCACATGGATTATTCAGCAACTCCATCTCCTTGGAACGTCTTATTCTGTACGGAAATCGCATAGAAATTCTGGCAAGAGGCGTTCTTCATGGTTTGTTCAATCTCACTTCTCTCTTCTTGCAATCCAATCGACTAAGGCTGCTGCAATCGGGAGTCTTTAATGATACGCCGAATTTGCATAAACTGTGAGTCGATACTTGGATTACTTAATAAATGTAAGGTTGACTTAACCATAGCTGGAATGATTTAATGATGACTTTATTTATGCAATCCTCTTTGTTCGCCACTATAACGACAAATATCTCCGGCCTGAAAAATTGAGAGAAAAACAAGAATAAATAAAAAATTTAAAATATATATGATATATTCAGTCTCTACGATATAAATTCAATTTAATAAATGTACACGTCTTGCAAGTACAAGTATTTCATTCTTAAGTAACTTGGTTTTTGCTTAGTATAAATTTGCTTTCAGAGAAGTATTGTGTATAAAGTAAATAAATAAAGTACAAACCTTTGATAGAATAAATCAATAAATCTCGCATCGTGGCTGCATCATTAAATTAAAATAGTAGTTAATGATTAGAAGCGTTGGAACGTGATCTTCAGGCAACTGGAGTCGAACGAGCTGTCTTTCTTGCCGGCCGGCAGCATGGATGCTGTACCTACGATTCCTCAAGTGTACCTGAATCGCAACCCCTGGCACTGCGACTGTCGTGCCTTGTACATCGCTTCCTGGCTACGTTGGAGATTCGCCAGATTCGCGAATCTGACGATTCCCTTGCAGATTCATCAGGCATTGATCGCGACGGGCAATTGGAGCATCTGGGAGTACGGAGCCGGAGCGATCTGCAGAGGTCCGGGTGTGTTGGGTGGCCAGCCTCTACTGCGACTGACCTTTCACGAGCTCTGCGAGGGTCAGTGGGCCTCCATGAAGGGTATCGTGCCTCGACTACCTCTCGACGTTATAACTCCGTCCGTCAAGCCGCAGGTGGCCAGAAAAGATACAGTTTTGGTAGGGATCGTGTCTATTATTGAACGCGATATTTCTGCTTCGTTATCTGCATTTTTCTCTCAATAGTAAAAATGATTTTCTACGATATGATAAGAGGAAGATCGCGCGATTATCGAACGTTCACTCACTATATTTCTGTTTAGTTAGATTTTATACTTCGCACTTTCCTTGCCGCAAAAAAAACATACATTATTTATTAAACATGCATTACTCTTGTTTCTTCTGTGATCATTGCCTCTTACTCACTTCATTCATACTGTTGCAGGTGTAGAGAGGATGAAATATCACATATGGCGTCGTCTATCTCAACGTCAAGTAATAGATAAATGCTTATGAAGCAACGTCCAAAATTATATCTTTCTTTCAGTGCCAATAATAATAATTAGTTGGTCTTTCAAACAAATAATTATGATTCTTTCTTCTCATTATCGCGAAAAATGTAGCAAGCACAAGATACGTATTTATAGTTTACTTCGCGTTGCTTCCGTGTGATAACGCGACTTACATCATCCTCGCGATTACATTATAACTTAAGATAATCTAAAAATGCGTCGTTAATTTGCCAAGTGTCAAGTAAAAATGTAATTTTTGAAAACACTTCAATCGATATAGTCTTTCAAGCGTGCTATCGCTCGTCGCTTCCAAGGTTTGTGTCTGTCATTTATTAATTATTATTACGTAAGCTTATCAGATAGGATCGACTTAGGGATAGATAGTTGATAGATAGAGTCAAGCGTCGCGAGCGTAATTGATGTCACGATTGTCGCAAAGCGCGGTGTATTATTGCGAACGGAAGGAAAGGGAAGAAAGACAATGTGCGCGTAATTACCCTCGGAGCGTGCGAAGAAGGTAAATATGCCATTTGAAAACTGCAAGTTCTAATTACACGTGTTCTTCCTTTTGACGTGCGCCACACGCACACACACATATACACATTCGCGTAACTCGTGTAGCGCAAGCGAACGGACACAAACGTCTATGTAATCGGCGCGTGTCAACTGCGATGAATTGCTGAGGTTCACGAAGTTCACGAGCTTTGCATCTGCGGATTTTTGACGAGTGCAGGAAAAAGTATTCGTGGCAGGTCGAACTGGAAGGGGCCCGACGAGAGGGAGTCGACGGATTCGGTGCCGACTGACCGGTCGTTCGGTCGATGGACTCGCTCGTTCGACACACTTCGGTTCAGTAGAGTTTTCGCAATGGCTGCGTCGAGTGCTAAGAACACCATCGAGCTGTTAGATAGGATCCTCAAGATCCTGGAAGAAGAACATGTGTTCGACCAGACTGGCGATCAGCCCGTCGTGCGATTTATTTATCCCGCACATTTGAATGTGAGTATCATCGGCCATTGCGTTTCGATTCCTCGCGCCACGGTAGTTTGTCTTCTAGCATAAGTGAACGGAATAATGTATAAGATTCTTGGAAGTATAGTCGGAAAATAAAAGTGAGCCGGTAAAATCCTGAAACGCTGGTGTATTTATGCTAAATAGCGAATCTCACACCTACCCATACACACACGCACACATATACAATAAAGAAGAGTGGCGGTATTAAGGATACTATAATGTACAAGAAAAAGTTGTAACAGACATTTTAAACCCGTTTGAATTATCTTTAGTGTTTACATATAAGTACTAATGTATATAAGATGATACAGTTGCGAGAGCATGAATTTTGATTCTTAGAGAAAGTAAAGAAAATGCTTGGAATTGCATTATGCGTCGTGTTGGAGATAAGAAGTAATAATTCGCAAATGTTCTTACGAATTATTATTGAAATTCCGGGATTAATGATATTGTATCTTTTTAATATCTCAGAACGCTTGGTTAATCTTCCTACTGTCGACGACTGACGAAAACAGCGTGCATTCAATGGCATAGCTTTGGCTCACAAAATAACATGGAATTATTAAGCCATATTTATATTTAATGCAACAACTTTCAAAAGTAGTGCTTTAGATTATTATTTATCTGTTATTCTTCATACCATGACTGTTACCATGTCAACTCCTTCTCCGAGTTAAGTAAAAACGAACAATAGATTATAAACAATATTATAGAAGCTCTAAAGATAAACAAATCCCTAAAGATAAACAATTAGTAAGAAAAATAGTAAGAAGAATAGTAATAATTAATAGTAATATTAATTATTTCTCCATAAATTCCGCGGATTTTTTTATAGAAAATTTTACTATTTTTTTCGATGCTTATGTAATTGTGTGACACAACTCTGCGATGTCGTCAATTATAAAAGCGTTTCCGTTTCTTTCTGTTTTCTTATATTGTACGCGTATATAACGCATATATTGCACTTACATTGAGAATTTGCTTTAAAAAATGTTAATATTAATATGAAGAAAAGGTTACTTCCACATAAATGTTAACATTTTTTTAAAGTACTTTGTAGTTTATGAAATTAGACGTTGAAAAATTCTTGTGAGAATTTTATCTCCTTAATTTTCCCTACAACGCGTGTTTGTTTTGATATAAAAAGTATTCAGTTTAATATAAGTAGATAACACAAGAAATTTTTATAACGGATAATTCACCAACTCTCTATTCTTTACACGAGCTATATATATATATATATATATATATATATATATATATATATATATATATATATATATATA